GTGGTGGTAAAGTGGATGATGCATGGTCCTTGAAGAAGTTCGGTGTGGGAGTGGTCCGTGTACTTAAAGAGAAGGATCAGGATCGGTTGCGCTGTGTGTTTCGCACACGTGGCGTGTGGAAGCTGGTTTTGAATGCGCCGTTGTCCACCTTCACAATGTGCGAATCGCCGCGACCAACCGTGGCTAAGTTCATGGCCTTCGATCTGGCTAAGTTGGAAGAGGAGAACAAGCGCAGCGTGTTCAATGTGGCCTTTGTTTCTAGCGCCCAGCGAGATGCTTTTCTAAAAGCCATCTCACGGTAACTTTTTCGGGCCGCGGGGTCGGGCAATAAAAATGACATTGACTTCAATAAAGCGACCGCCCTTACCCGGAGAAGAATATGGCGAAGGCCAAAGCCGTGTCCAGCTTAAGAAATCAATTTTAGAAGTATTGGGCTTACCGGTTGAGGATGCATGGCTTGTACGAAATAACATATACGAGGATGTCCGCAACAGTATGAATGTTTGGTTAGCTAGCGATAACGAGTTATACTCATTGCAATGGTACACACGATGTCCAGAGGAAGCAGATTCCCGCCAAGATTGGGTAACCTCAATTAGCAGTCATAACCATCGAAAAAGCCTGATTTGGTTAAGGTCGGAGTGTGTGTCACGCATTCGACTAGCGAAACACGCTCTAGCACGTCAAGACGTTAACAAAGACGTTAACAAAGACGTTAACCACGAGGTAGTAGTTACTGTAGGGTGGTATCAAGTTACGCTTACAGAGTTGTTGCAATATACCAAGTCGGAATTGGAAGACCTGATTCGTATTTACCGGAACTGGCTGGTGCTTATAGAGGAAGATTACAAGAAGCTCGTAATTATCGAAACCGACGATCCTTTAGTAACGGAAGCAATGGACTTGGATCATTGTATAAAAATGAACGTAAAATTTCAGGGGGTTGAACCACGGATATCAAAGACATATGGACGCTGTTTAATAACGAAACGAGATTTAAAAGCTGGAGATCTTCTCATCTCAATGCCTGAAAGTAGCTTAATAAATTCATACCAAGCCTTGTATGACAGTTTCAACCACAGCTCCGATCTCAGTGAGGATGTAATTAACCATGTGAAAATTTCAGAGGCTTTCATTTGGTCCCTATTACTTGGTGGAAGGTACCTTGACAACAGGATGCTTACACCCCCGGAGTTTATCTCCGAGCACTCTGTACTGGGCGAATTTTTGAAGCATCATGAGTATCCTGATGCCTTCGTTCAAGAACAGTTATTCCTTATTCTGTTTGTTGCCTGGGAAGCCCTTAAGGGTCCCGAATCCAAATGGTATCCTTGGTTGAGTTTAATATCTGGCTACGAAGATTGTATTGTGGAAGACGGATATGATAACTTACTTATAACTAAACATAAGGAGGTCATAGAGTTTCTAGATGATGAGCGAATAACTCAGAGTGTCGAAACTGTTACCGACTGCATCCAAAAATTCCATCAATGGGTGAAATCGTTCTTAGGAGGACTGTTTCCTAAAACGTTCGAACACGCGTTCGATGAAGGGAAATTAACCGAGGAGCGTCTTTTATGGGCCTGCTGGGTATGTGAATCTCGGGAATTTGAAACCCTGATTCCGGTCCCGTTACAATTCATCAGTAAATATAAAGGAATTGTTGAAAGCGAGGCAGAAATGGTTCCTCTAAAAGAACAGTTCTTGGGAGAATTTGAGGATGCCAGATTGATAACAATGGTTACAAGTAGCGCGGCTGAAGAGCAGGAGATTGTACCGGAGCTGAAGTTGTTACCAGATCTTCATTACCTTACCGAGGAAGCCTTTGGCGGAAGTGACGGAAAGTCAAATTGTATTATATTGCCTATCCGACTTGGCTGGGACGTTGCGACTAATGAACCTGTTGACTCACTTATTGCGTTTAGCTTCAGGTCGAAATGCCTTACAATTATGCCCATAATTGATTATATTAATCATTCAAGGAGGGCGCAATGTTCACACCCTGGATTTCACGATAAGGAATCGAAAAGATTGTTAAGAGTACTTGATGTGAATGAACAAGACTATCCCGTGGGGGATGACCTTGACGTGAAGTACATGGATGTAATCCATGAACTATTCAGTTCCAACATTGGGCCGTGCTCGGATGAGGTGACGAATCAGGCGACAAATTTGGTGCGAGAGCTGTCCCTGAGAACAAACTGCGATATTCCACAGGGTCAGCAGGTGTTCATCAATTACGGTCCCCATGAGCCGTGGTCGTTTCTAAGGTATTACGGGTTCATTGAGCCGGGTCATGAATGCATAACTTTACTTCTGGAACCAGAAGTATTATATGACGAGAAAACCGATCTTGAACAGCGATCGTGTATGCTCAAGGTATTCAAGGTACCAGAAGAACACCTAATTACCCTACCAGAGTATTCTCATGGTAAGGAGTCTAGGCCTACACCAGCTATTACTGAATGTCATCCCCCCATGAAGATGATGCTTGCAGCTGCTCGAATTCTCACATGGCCAGACGTTACTGATTTGATTGTGCGTCACAGCGAGGATGAGATTAAGAAATTGGTTTACTCCCAGGAACTCACTGCCACCGACTTACTGGCTTTGGAATTGCTAATACACACTCTGAACATTCAGATATTTACCAGACGAGCTGCAAAATGTCCGCTGTCCTTTGGGATAAAAACGATGAGCTGTCAAAGACCAGGTGGTTTCCTCCCTGGGAAACGGCCATGTGCGAGTTGGTTCGCTCACGGAAGCATCTCATTGAGTCCCTGCTAGCTGTCTTGTATACCGAACACGAACTAATTTCAAACAACGACTGGACAGACAACGACGAGACAAACGTGGATGGGACGCAGACTGGATGGGACGCAGACTGACCCCCTACCAACCGCAAAAAAGCCCCATAGCCCGCAACGAGACTGACGCCGGTCACCGTTACATATCGTTCATGAAGAGTGTCCGTCTTATGTGTGGACACAATTTTTTAATTCGTGAAATCCAGACCAACGTTCCATGAGCACCGGTGCATGTACGCGTGGTGATGGCAACCCGTTGGTGGTCGCCCGCCCGCTAATGGTTGGTGATCGCCCGCTAGTGGTCGGTGGTCGCTCGCCCGCTAAGGGTTGGTGGTCGCCTATGCGTCATGGAACTAGCTTGCGGCGGAGTTGCAGTTACCAGAGGTCATGGTCAGCAGCGAAAGCGGCTGCCTCGGTCGCTGCTCTTTGTTGGTTACCGGGAGCCCATTTGAGACAGAAAATGTCGAGTGGCTCACTG